CTTTAGCAGCGTCATGTGTAATTAAAGGAGCTGCTTAAATGAATGAAATGTATGTTAATGTCGTGTCTCCTGTGGGTCGTTACAAATATAAATCATATTCATCTCTCTCTAGTCCAGCTCCGGTTTTTCTTTGGTCAAATATTTTTAATTTAAGTGTAAACACCTGTGTTACTGTGTTTACATTTATACAGAAGAAGGGTGGTTGCGTTTTAATGATTTGGCCGATTAATCGAAAAAATAATCGACAGATTAATCGATTATTAAAATAATCGTTAGTTGCAGCCCTAGTTTTGTTTGTGTTTCTGTCTGATACCAACACATCTCAAGAAACACAGGAAAAATGGCCATAATTCAGCTTTTTCAGATAATGAGATAATCTTGGATGTGGGGGATGCTATAAGTAATTCACAACTTTCTTTTAATGAAAGAAGATCTTTATTGTTGCTAATAGTTTGTTTATGTTGCAACTATTGGTTTATTTTTACTCATCATGTGTCGATTGGTTAAGAAAAACGGAGATGATTATTGCAAAAATCAATAAATACTCAGATAAACACAAGCATTTTAAAAGTTTTATTACAAACTTACAAACATATCACGTAGGCTTATAAAGTAAAATCCAACATTTGTTATTATTATTATTATTACAACATTACTGTTTTGTTAGTGATTTCACATTTTTCTGACAATGAATGTGTCTTTTTTTCACATTTTCTTTCTCCATCCACTGCAAAACCCCAAAAATTAGCACCCAAAAAAAAAGAAAAAAAGAAAAAAAAAGAAGCAAAATAATAATAATAAACTATATGAATCTCTAGCACAGTGGTTCCCAAACTTGGGGTCGGGACCCACAGTGGGGTCCCGAAACATCAAGGTGGGGTCCTAAAAATATTTTCTGAATTACTTACACTAAAAAATGATAACTAACAATAGTTTTTTTTGCCTTTGTTGTTACAAAAAATAAGATTAGTGTATTTAAAATGGGAAAAAAATAATGTTATAAATAATGTTACTATGCTCTTGTTTATTTGATGTGAAAACAATGTTTATTAACCGACAACAGCTGGGGGCTCAGGTCCCTGCTGCTGGAATTTTGTGGGTCAAAAGCTGAAAAGTTTGGGAACCAGTGCTCTAGCAGGTAGGATTATTAACATGCATTTCTTATATAGAACTTTCAAATGTTGCACAAGTATCAAGCATGTTCAAGATTAATCTGAATAAACAACACATCAATGTAAAAAAAAGCCTTATAGCCTTATGGGACATGTACAAAAACTGTTTAACAATATTTAAAGTGACCTCGTAAAATGTTTTAAGAGTTAAAAGTGACACTTCGACACACTGCAATGAGACAGGCCCTTACAAACGAATAAAACTTTTTATATTTACATGCTAAGATTGCACATGCAGAATTTTATTTTCAGTTTTGTTTAGACATCAAAAAATCTCATATTCTGCATAAACGGGTTTTCAGGAGCACTTTAAAACAATGGAAATCACCTGCTTCATATTGTGCAGATGAAATAGCCGTGACGTGCCGGGCCTCGACAGATGCACATTACTTTTGGGAAAAAAAATAAAATAAAAACTTCAACTTAATACATATGTTGAGATGATCCTTGCTTTTCTTCTCAGCTGTTGTTTTCATAAATGAAAGTAATTTCAACGATCTTGATGTAAAAAAAAACTCTTGGCAGGAAATCCCCATTCAGACGCACATTCCATGCGTAGAATGGGACGTGTCAGTTAAGCACTGACATGATGGTGTGTCTGAAACAAACCATTTCAGAGAAACACAGGTTTTATCTTCAAATCACTTCAACTTCAAGTGGTATCGCATGCTTCTAAAAATATGGAGAGTTTAACACTACTGACAGTGATGTAAGAAACAAGTTTAAACAAGAAGTAGTACACCTATAACTTCAGGTTTCTATCAGATAAACTGAAACTTCCCCAGAACTGGAGCCAAACGAGCAACTCGGATGGCAGAAATGAAGTCATGTTTACTCAACTGACAGCAGCCATGTTTCCATCAACGTTTTTTAATACGCATTTTGAAGTATCGCATCAGAAAAGGTGAATGGAAACGCATGATTCAAAAAAACTTCCTGTAATTAGCATAAAAGTTGATATGCGAAAGATCTGCTTCTACTTTTACCACTTATTTGCATCAACTCATGTGTGTAAAGTCCAACAATTGCCTTACCTTCAGAAGAGGCTCGCTTCCAGAAACACATTTTCTCAATGTCCRTACAGCGTGGCTCCATCCGAGATAAATTCATCTGTTTTCTGCTAAAAATAAATAAATAAATA